CCACTGAGCTACACTAGCCAGGGCATGTCTTATCTTTTTAAATCTGTTTTCTTCGTGTTTTATTAATTTACTCGTATCTCATTCACATTTTTCTCATATAACAACCATTCTTATGAGTTTAATGCGTATATTTTTGTTTTACATTCTCATAAAATTGGTATGTTTTTTGCATGGCTTTTTACCTTATATGAAGAATTTTCTGTTTTTTTATTTTCCACTCATAATTGTGTTTTAAGGTCCACCCACTTGTAATATTTCCTTTTGATTTCTGTATAGCACTCCACAGTACACATTCAGTTCATTTCATGTCACTAATGAACACCCTGGCCATCGTCTCCTGCCCCCAGATGCCTATCCTCCTTCCTGTCTCTCTGTGGACTTTTCTGCAAGGGTCTTTTTGGAAAGTACATGCAGAAGCTGGCCCTTAGGGCACACATTTTGCTACTCAGTAGTATAACATTTATCTTTAAAAAAGCGTCACCCTGCTGCAATCCCACCCATAGTACCCGAAGGGTCCTGTGTACACCTGCACTCAACACATAGTGTGATTCAGCCTTCGAACTCTTGCCAGTATCTGATAGAGGTGATGTGATATCTTAATATTTAATTTGCTTTTCTGTTACTACTTATGAGTTTGAAGGACTCTTTATATATCTGTTACCCTTTTGGCTTTCCTTGTCTGTATTATTCCTGCATATCCTTCACACATATTTCTCTTCATTTTTTTGTCTCTCTAGTTTGTAGGAGATCCTTATAAAGGCAAATGTGAAACCTTTGGTTCTTATGAATCTGATCACCTGGCGGTGGGAGTGGGACAGAGCTGGTGAATTATGCTGGTGCAACTAACCTAACCCTGGAAAGAGCTCTTTTGTAACATCTGTTTTTCAGCAGATTGAGGAAGAGGGACACAGGGAAATGGGTTGGGGAGACCGGGATGGTTGGATGCAGTCACCCTCAGGGTGACATTGCTGTGTAAGCTATACCGAGATTCTCAACAACTTGGGTTTCCAGATACCAAGAATCTCTTGGGCCTCAGGGCACTCAATAGAGTGTGTGTTTGGAATATGCCAGCATCTGGCCCTTCTGGACCTCAGAGGTGGTGATATTGCTGTGGCCACCGTTCTAGGCAGTGAGAAAACCCCACCATCAGAAGAGGAAGAAGTCTAGCCAGGACTGGTGTGGTCAGGGCTATGTCACATCCTCTCAATACCCTCCGCAGTGCCGACTTACAAGAATTCCAGATGTTTTTGAGATAGAAATTTAGCTCTTGGTATTTATTACTCGTTATATTCCTCTTTCTACTACTGTGCAGTCTCTTGAAAGATATTTTAAAATATGCACATAATGCTTATTTAGCTATTGGTTACCCCAAACACGATGACATATTTGCATGGGAAATTTTGCAATATCCTGTGTGGCAGTTACAATCATGGGATTGTCTTAATATTCTGATGCAGAAATCCATTTTTCAAAGAAATATAGAAAATATTTTTCACTTTATTTCAGAAATTTACAGCAATGGTAATGTTGAAACAAAAGCTGCTAAGGCAGTTGTTTAAACAAAACTCTGCATTCGTCTTTTATAGAAAAATGCATTGGATAACCCTGAGAAGATCTATTTGTGCTTTTCTAAATGTTGTGGTTGAGTCTATTCTTTATCTTTGGTACCCTCTTGTGGTCAGTGGGAGGCATTGGTTGGGTCTTGTTTTTAACAACTATGTACAATTTAATGTGTTTATTTTCATGATATTCCTACAGTTATAACTGTAGGAATAAATGTTTTGCCTAAGAGTAAAACCGACACTAGGAATTTGTGCTGTGACGACCGCCTCCTATTCCTCACTTCAGTGTGTGGAAGGAAGTTGCGAGGTGACCGTGGTTGCTAAGCTCGGAAGCTCAGTGGAGCTCTGATCACTGTGCTGAGAACAGATGCAGTGCGGTTTGGAAAACGCTGTAGACTCAGAGCTTGTCTTACACTTTCTCCCACTCTAATCAGGTTTGGGGGCTCATTTGCCCTTTTCAATGAACTGTTTTTACATGTTTGATTGTATGCACATGAACACACATACATACATATATGTCTTCATTTTTAATGATTACCTAATTCAAATGCACTCACTCTTGATTGATAGAAAATGTGTCATTGTAATGTAGTATTTTATGAATCATGCCATGACAATAAGAAGACAGTGATTGTGCACAGCATTTAGTAAAGATTCCTATTTCTTCCTTTCTCTGAGGCAGTGGTTTGAGAGAAAATTCTTAGCGTGATATCCACAAGTAAATGGAGACAAGAGGTGGATGTATGCTGTTGAGTTACTGAGTCCAAATAGGCCTGGCTTACGTGCACAGTAAATCATGGCTTTTTAGGGGAGGTGTGAATTGCAAGAAGTGTGTGTGTTTTCAGGAACCAGCTCTCCTAGATTATGGTTGTCCTTCATGTGGCCCACTCCTCCAACTCAGCTCCTTAATTTTATGCTAGAGTTGAGTATGTCTTTGTTGCCTACGGCACTGGAACCTTTGCGTAGATCCTTCTGTGCTGGCCCCACGGTGCAAAGGGCCTGGGTTTGAATGACAGTCCAGGAAGTGCTTCTGGGAATCATTTTTGTGTTGCCAGGAACGCTGATGTTGGGCCCTGAGTTCACATTTCCCCCAATGCCATCCAGCACTGACTGAGAACAAAGATGTGAGTGTAGTCACCACAGCTGTGTCCTCCTCTCCTTCCGCCAATTCCTTCTTCTCTGCACAGTGGGAAATGTTAAGCGCCCACCGTGAGATGAAGGTGATTCACTTTTATGTGCTGTACGGTAATGCACATGGTTGCCCCCACAAGAGTATGTGCCATTGGATTTGAGCTAAGGCCGTTTGTGCAGAATTGTCCCTTGTAACATGGACATTGGCTTTTTGAACAAATGAAATATCAATGAGGGACTATGGTGGGCAGTGTTGGGAGAGGAAGAATCTTATTTTTTCATTAACTATTTATTGAGCACTCGCTGAGAAATTCAGTTTTAAGGAGGAGAGGGCATACATAACTTTCTCTGCTACAATGTACAATAAAACACTAACAGAGTAAGAAACCCATATGTAAAACTGTGTCAGCATTCACAAGGGAGAGAGAGTTGGTGGGGACTTGTGTGAATGAGCTCAATTTGAGCAGGATGCTAAACTTGAGTATGTTGAAATTGGAAGAAATGAGAGCATTTATGTCAAAGGGAAGTGGCCTGGAGAGAATTAAGCAAAGAATAGGAGGTCAAAGGGGCTGGTGAGATTTTGGAGGGGTGAGTTGTGACCGAAATGCCAGTTTAAGAGTAACGTCACTGAACAGAAGATGAAAGGTTCAGGCCAGGTGTGTTCCAGAAGTGGAGAGGTCAAGCTCCTGCCATCCCGAGGTTTCTGCTTCCTCCCTTCCTTTTGGGTCTGCGTATTGTGTTGTGTGAGTTCCTCAACGGCCCTTTTTTGGATTTATTTTTCAATTGTCTTTCTCCTAGTAGGACCACATTTTCTCCTTAGGTAGTGGAAATCCTTTGAGGGTTTTGACTTTTCCCCCTCATTTACAGGTTGTAAAGTGCAAGCATGTCAGTTCTTCTTAAGTGGTCTAAAAAGTGAGTAGAATTTTTACAGCAGAAGTCTGCTTGCTCTTTACATTCAGTGCAGTTTTTCCAATTAGCTTTCTATAGTCCTTTATAAGGAACTAGCTCATCCTGAATTCCTGCAAATGTAATTGAGGTATCAAGTTCATCAGGATAGAATTACCTGGATATATTAACCTGGATCTGATGACCTCAGAATAGTGGGAAAGATAGACCAGAGTTCTGCTTGTCTTTCCCTCCCATCTTCCCTTCCATGCCCCATCTGTCCATTCTTCAGTCTTTCCATCCAGCCAGCCATCTATCCATCCATTGTTTTTAATTAACTTCTTCCAAATATTTATGTACATAACAAAGCAAAACATTATGCATAATCATAGAGCTTATTTTTTTAGTTATTTTTTAATTACAGTTGACATACAAGTGTATATTAGTTGAAGGTGTACAACATTGTAAAGCTTGTTAAAAATAACAGTGCATGAATCTCTGGATGGGAGGAATAGAAACCTGCGTTTTGAATAGGCTTAAAAATACTTGACTCTGATTATACTGGTTCAGAGGTTGTCCTTCCAGAAACACTGAAATAAAAGCAAAAAATAGTACTACTTTGGCCAGTGAAATTTGATTGTGGTTACCTAATATTTAGTTTATATGGACTCATAAATGGAAAAAACATACATATTTATGGTTGCAGAAGATTATATGCCCAAGCATGTCCTGTTCCTTTTAGATTTTATTCCATTTGCATGTCTGAAGAAGCATGTGATAGGATGAAAGGTATATTCTTCTCATCCACAAAAGACTGTGCTGGTTACAACTAACCCTTCAAAACCAAAACATAATCTTAGGGGTGAGCAAAGGTCAGTTAATACTTATGTTGACTACATGATACAGTTTTTACCAGTACTTTTGATTTGAGTTTAAACTGTCTGATTTAATGATTTTATGCTTTTAAAAGTCTGTTGTCCTCCCTGTCAAGAATGAGTTGTTTTGAATGATCAAGTGTCTTTTGTGTCTGGAAATTACGATTTCTTGAAAAGACTCTGTGCCAGCGGTTCTGTAAAGTAGTTACATGTTATCTCATCTGAATCACCACAAGGCCAAAAGGAGACATTTTCTCTTGGTCTAAATGGACTAGATCAGCGTCTGTCATTGAGAACCAATTATAAAGACTCTACTGTAGCCAGTCTAGCTCCTTCTATGCAATAGTTCCATGAGCTTCTTTAAGAGAGCGTATATTGAAATGACTTGTGTTTCATGTCCTTCTTTCTAATCTGCTTCATACAGCTTTGCACATACAAGTTGGAGCTCACTAAATCTTAAATAATTTTCTTTGATTTTTGATGGGAATGGTGAAAATCTTCCATGAGGCTCTAATTAGAATGTTTTGTTGTTATTGTTATCTCCTAGGATGGAAAGAAGAAGTTTGACAAGGAGAGTGAAAAATATTATTCTATTCTTGACAAACATTTAAATTTGTCTGCAAAGAAAAAGGAGTCTCATCTGCAAGAGGTAAGCTTTTCCAATTGGAATGTGGAGAGGGTATTAATTAGCATTAAGTCATGTGAAGTTCAAATTTCCAAAGGTAGAAGTATCTCAGAATCTGCTCCTCATTAATAAACAAAAAAGAAAGGGAAAAGGAGAGGAAGACAGGGGAAGGGAGAAAGAAGAAGGACAATACTTAAGTTAATTGAGCATTTACTATGGACAGGCACGGTGCTGAACATTTTAAGTGCCTTATGACATTTAATACTAGCAGTTCCAATGAATGATTAGTATTTCCTTCAACAATGAGAAAGAACAAAGTGAAACTTTTCATTTTCTTCTATTGGACATATTTTAAACAATAGGACCTATCAAATTTATTTTACAGCTTTTATGTTAAGTTGAAAATATGTTTTTAAGGCATTGGGTTAGCACTAGAAGAAAAAAGGTATACAATGAACACATCTTAAAATGTCAAGTATTTTACATCAGTTTTCTTAAAGAACAAGGCAACAAGTATTCCACTAACATATGCATATAAGCAGTTCAATTCTTCCTTCTTTTTGAAATATCTGTCCTTTTCATTGGTAGTGTTTAAATTATAAGGAAAATTTTGTAGTCCTTTTACTAAGGAATAATGGAGTTCTAGTTCCAGTGATGAGAATATGTCTTTTTAAAAATGGACTGTTTTGTCATTTTCACCCTAAAAGCAAAAATATCTTAACACTCCACCCACACTTTTCTCCAAATCTACCGTGGTTGTCTCAGAGCTGCAAGGTGGGAGTTACTTGTTTCACCCTGGGGTCATCACTGCTCTCCAGACCTTGCTAGGGGACCCTGTGCAATGCTGAGTCTCCTTTAGTCTCTTTCTTTCTCCTCTCTCTGTACTTGTAGGTATCACAGTCCCAAACCTGTTTTAAATGCCTCATCCTTCCCTGGCTGGTGTGGCTCAGTGGATTGAGTGCTGGCCTGCAAACCAAAGGGTTGCTGGTTTGATTCCCAGTCAGGGCTCATGCCTGAGTTGTGGGCCAGGTCTCCAGTTGGGGGTGCACAAGAGACAACCACACATTGATGTTTCTCTCCCTCCCTCCCTCCCTCCCTCCCTCCCCGTCTCTAAAAACAAATAAATAAAATCTTTAAAAATTTTTTAAAAACTGCCCGACCCGGCAAGGTGAATTAGCTGCTTTTCCAATTCAACTCGGTCATCTGTTCTCTGTATTCTTTCTCTTATTTCTTTTACCTTCACACTCAGCCACAGGGCTGCTGCAGGATGAGTTAGAGAATGGGCAGAGTTCCACTGCATCAAAAGCCATGAGAGGGTTACTTTTTGGCTCTGATTCCTTTTTTCTACATTCTCCTATTGTCAGTGAAGAAATTGAATTCCTTCATGTAAATATATTTAATAGTGGGAAGTGTTCTTTAAACATGAGTTCATTATAACATATTTTGTTATTAATGCCTGCTATTAAAACAGGGTAATTGAATGTATAGTTCTTTGCCTATAAAAAGGTTTTGTGATTAAAGTGAAATGGGAAAAAAATCTATCACTAAGGAAAAATAATATTTTTAATTTTCAAGGGCATACTTAATCTTATGAATTACTATGCTGCGATTTAATTTTGTGTTGACGTGTTCCATACAACTACCACTACTGCTCCTCCTCCTCTTCTCCTCTTTTTTCCTTTCCTGACTCTTTATGTTTCGGTTATATTAACCTTCAGTCTTGCTCAAATTAAGCCAAGACTGGGCATACTTCGAGAGCTTTGCACTTACCATTTGTTCTACCTGGAGAGGTGTTCGTATACCTGCATCATTTTATCATCAGTTCCTTCTCTCTTTTTAAAATTTTATCCCACAGGCCCTGCCTCCTGACTCTGGCAGCCACCAGCCTGTTCTCTTCATCTCTGAGTATTTATTCACTTACTTACTTACTTGTTTTTAGGTTCCACATATAAGAGAGATCATATGGTATTTGTCTTTCTTTATCTGACTTTGCATTTATCATAATACCCTCAGGGTCTCTCCAGGTTTTCAAAATGGGCAAGATTTTATACTTTTTTTGGCTGAAAAGTATTCCATATATATAACAATATGTAATATAATTTTAGGTATGTCATAATTTATTTAATTATCCATCCAGCTATGGACATTTAATTTGTCATAATCCAAAAATTTTTCAAAGATCCTCTTTTGTTTTAAATCCTCACCCAAGATATTTAAATCTATTTTGTTAGAGAGAGAGGAAGGGGGGAGAAACAAAAACATTCAGGATGCCTCGACAGCCGCCAACCGATGCTTCTATTTTATTGTTTTCTTCAGATAAATACCTAGAAGTAAAATTTGCTGGATCACATGGTAGTTCTATTTTTAATTTTTTGAGGAACTTCCATACCGTTTTTCATAGTGGCTGCACAAATTTACATTGTTACCAACACTTGTTATCTCTTGTCTTTTTGATGAGAGTCATTCTAACAGGTGTGAAGTGATATCTCATTGTGGTTTTGACTTGCATTTCCTCGATAATTAATGATGTTGAGGGTCTTTTCATGTACCTGTTGGCCATCTGTATGTTTTCTTCGGTAGAACGTCTATTCAGACCTTCTCTGCATTTTCAATATGATTGTTTGTTTTTTGCTACTGAGTTGTATCGGATCTTTATGTTTTAAATATTAGCCCCTTCTTTATCAGATAAATGATTTTCAAATATTTTCTTCCATTCAATATGTCGCTTTTTCATTTTGTTGGTGGTTTCCTGTGCTATGTAAAAGCTTTTTAGTTTGATATAGTCCCATTTGTTTATTTTTGCTATTGCTTTTGCTTTTGGTTTGAGATTCAGAAAATCATTGCCAAGACCTGTGTTAAGGAGCTTATCACCTACATTTTCTTCCAGGCATTTTATGGCTTCAGGTCTTATGTTGACGTCTTTAATCCATTTTACTTTTTGTTGTGATATAAGATAGTGGTAGAGTGTAATTATTTTTTTAAATCTGGATGTTCATTTTTTCTAGTATAATTTATTGAAGACACTGTTCTTTCCCCATTATATATTCTTGGCTCCTTTGGTATAAATTTATTAATCATTTAGACATAGGTTTATTTATGAGCTCTCTATTTTGTTCCATTGGTCTATTTGTCTGTTTTTAGTGCCAATGCCATACTTTTTATATACTATAGCTTTGTCACATAGTTCAAAATCTGGAGGCATGATACCACTAGCTTTGTTCTTTCTCAAGATTGCTTTGGCTATCTGGAATTTTTTGGTGTGTGTACCTCCATACAAATTTAGTGTTATATTCACCTATTCTAAACTTCTTAAATGCTCACATTTCTCTAAATATTGCACTAGAATAAACCTAAGAGAGAATGCAGTATGTAGATAAAGTCATGTATACAAAGGCTTCTGTAATTTCTACCTGTGCACCATATGCTGTGGCAGGTGCCATGGCCAGGTACTATTATAAAAATTGGCTGCCACGGAATCCACTGTGGTTTTTACAGTTTCTAAAGGACTATAAGTTCACGAGGTTCTTGGTGACTATGGACAAGACATTGCTTAAATCATCTAGCAAGTACTAACTTGATCAATTTTATTATCCTCTAGAGGATATACTTTAATTTTCCCTGACAACCTAGTTAAATATTTAATACTTTGCTTGTTAGTGACCCTCAGATCCTTAGGCTGTGGTAGGATGGAATATCCATTCTGGTTCTGTATTTAGTTGGAGGCTGGAAAAACCTGTAACATGGTTAATACAACCTCCACTTGCCCCACCTTGCCCCATTCCACACACTCACACACACTCACACACACTGACACTCACACACACTCACACATCGTTTCCAGGAGACACAGCCCCCAACACAGCCCAGTTGTACCACAGCAGTGCCTCAGAATACATAATGTCGATAAGGGGAAATATGGCTTGGGTCTTTTGTTTTCTCTATACTTCCGGCAATCAGATCTCTCATAGGGAGATGCTGCCACACCTCGTCTGTCGTTTTGTAACATGACATTAAAAGTCATCTGTTTCTTCCCAGAGCATCCCTCGTCCTTTTGTCAGCACCAAATGTACTTTAAGTTGCTCTCAAAAAGACCCCTATGTGCCTTCTCATCTGAATCCTTGATCATTTCTGTCATGGAAAATAAGTGGCTGCCCATTTCCAGGACTGAATGAGGGGTCACCTTGTTGGTACAGCTCCAGGACCATCAGTCAGATGGATTGTGGCGATAAACAGACTTGTCAAAATTGTAGGCTTTACAGTAGTACATGGAGAGAAGTAACACTTAATATGGGAGTGGGTGATTTCTTTCTAAGCACAACATAAAAGGAAGAGATCCTGAAGGAAATGTAGGAAGACCAGAATGCATACAAAAATGTCTATGTTATAAGACATTAAATCAAATTAAAAGGCAAAGTGTTAGGGAATTTATATAGCATAGGATTTAGGATTACCATCACTCATACATAAGACTCATCCACAAATCAGTGTGAAAAAGTTGGTCTTCAGTTGAAAAAATGGGCTAAGAGTATGAATTGGCATTTCATCAAAGAGGAAATATAAACCATAGTGAATATTCTATTTCAGTGTCACGTGATTTAAAATACAATGTAAATTAGTAATAACGGCAGAATGTTAGTTTAATTCATTAAAAGATACCCACCATTAGTATGGAAAATACTAATGTTTCTCTGGTAGAAACAAAATCAATCATTCTTGAGGTGAATTTGATGACATTTTTCAACAAATTTTTAATGCAAAAGATAGTTGAAATTATTTTTATTAACAGGAATTTACCCAAGAGAAATGGTCAGCAATGCACATAAAAATAAATGGTGTAAATCTCTTGAGGCAAGACAACTCTTGCAATGCTCAAATTTAGAAACACTTGAAATGGCACAAAAGAATAATTGAGGTAAATACACATATATAGCTTGATGGAAAATGAAATATGATATTGCTATATAAGATTTTATTTGGAAAATCATTTAAAGACATGAAATATTTATTAGCTTAAGTGGAAAAAA